CTATAGATCTCCTTTTTCTTTCCACTTTAACTGCATGGTAATGCTTTGATGTATCATATTTTCCTTATCATTTACTTCAAAGCACTTTTAAATTTCCACTTGATTTCTCCTTCTTGTTTTATTTTTAAAGTGTGCTGCTTGATTTTTGAAGATTTAGGAGATTGTCTCCTCATGTTAGTGTCATTACTTCCTGGTTTGGTTTGGCAGTTGATGGAGAATCCAGGCTTCATCTCATCAGCCCTGTGGAATGTGGTGATGGCTGGCTGGGAAATGCTCCTGGGGCCCCCAGGTGTCCTCTGCAGGGGGATGAGGTCCAGATTTCCTGTACTCTATGAATCCTTTGCTTAATCTTCCACTTACTGAAGCAGGTTAAAATATCCCAAAATAATGGTAGATTTTTCTGTCTTTTGCTTTGTCAATTTGTTTTTATTTATTTTGAAGCTATATTATTAGGTATATACACATTTGGAATTTTTGTACCTTCCTGACAAACTGATTTTTTTCTTTTCTTTTTTTAAGTACCCGGGATTGAACCCAGGGACTTGCACATGCTAGGTAAGCACTGAGCTATACCCTCTAACCCTTTTTTTTTAAAACTTGTAGATGGACACAATGCCTTTACTTTGTTTATTTATTTTTATGTGGTGCTGAGGATTGAACCCAGTGCCTCCCACATATGCTAGGCAAGTTCTGTACCACTACAGCCCTAGCGCACCCTCTATCACTTTCAACTTTTATTTTGAAACAGGGACTCGTTAAGTTACTCAGGCTGGCCTCGAACTTGTGACCCTCCTTCCTCAGCTCCCTGAGTAGCAGAGCAGATTGATTTTTTTTTCTTTTTTGGTGGGGTACCAGGAATTGAACCCAGGGCCACTTGACCACTGAGTCACATCCCCAGCCCTATTGTGTATTGTGTTTAGAGACAGGGTCTCAGAGTTGCTTAGGGTCTCACTAAGTTGCTGAAACTGGCTCTGAACTAGCAATCCTCCTGCCTCAGCTTCCTGAGCTGCTGGGATTACAGGTGTGCGCCACCAGCCCAGCCTGATAAGTCTTTTTAATGTTATGAAATGTCTCCCTAAATTTTTATTAATGTTCCTAAGTGTTAGTATGTATCTAGATATTTACTATGCATCTCCAAAAGTGATGTTTACTTAGGTAACCAAGTTCTTTTTCCACACTCACTCAAGTTAACAAAAGCACCTTAGTGAAACCTGATTCCCAGCAGATGTCCTTATCTTCCACTTCCTCGCCAGTGTTTGCCCTGGTCAGCATCCGCATGCTGCCTGTGGGTGCTCCTCTTAATCCCCCTCTGGCCTCTGCCCTGTGCTTGCATGACCCAGACTTGCTGCACAGGAGGGCACCTGTTCTGTGGGAAGCCCTGCTTTAGGCTTTGTCTGCCAGTGGCCTCCTGGAGTGCTTGCCCAGTGAGTGTGCCCTGTGCCTAGAAGAGATGTCAGTAGCTCAATGGGGCTTTGCCAAGATGCCTCCAGGGGTGCTGTGTGCTCTGTCCTGCCCAGCGTCTGGAGCACGACAGACCCCATTGTGCCACACTGTCACTGCTGTCCTGGACTTAACCAAAGAGCAGGCGGTGGCCAGGGTCACCCAGGCACAGAGCACAGCAGCTCTGGAGGTACCCTGGGGCCGACCTCCAGGGCGCAGGGATGGCAAGCAGGAGGTGGCTTGGGGCCCTTGGTCAGTAGCTGTGTGTTGTGAAGAACACAGGGCAGGGGAGCAGGCTGCAATGCTGAGCCCACAGGACTCCAGGAGGTCATCCTGAACCACTCTCTGGTGGGTGTGACCTGGTGGGGGTGTGAGGTACAACTGCCCCTGTGGCAGAAAGGGCATCTGGGGGCCTCCTGCCTCCTGCCCAGCACCGCCCAGCGGGTCAGCATTCTGGATATTTCCTTGGGCCACGCCTCCCACATGGGTGGCTGACCAGCTCAGTGAGAAGGGTCCCTCCCCAGAGGCCTCCTTCAGGCCTTCCCAGGTCAGCGCAGCTGCTCAGCCCTGCCCGCTTTCCAGGGATGGCTGGTGTGACGCAGGTGTCTGAGGCTGGTGAGGTCTGTTGGTGGTGCTCTCTGCACGTCTGTGCTCACGGGCAGTCAGCACGTGGGGCTGGCCACCATGGTGGTGCCTGGTGGTCTCCACTGGCTCACGGAGCACCCTCTGGTCTTCCCAGGCCCTGAGGCCACCTGGGCCTCCCACACCTCACCCCTCCAGCAGACCCTGGTCCTCCTGCAGGGAGGGCCCAAGACACCAGGGCCCTTGCCAGCTGTCTCCTGGGGAGCCGAGGGGTTTGATCGGGAAGGGAGATTCATGCCAGGGGGTTTCCTGTGTCTCCTGGGACATGCTTGCTCATGGCCTTCTCGGGCTGTGGGGAATCGGCCTCTCTGGTGCTGTTTCTGCAGGAGGCTGCCTCCCTGTCCTGACTCTCTCTGTGGGGGAACTGCTGGGCTCACTTTCCGAGCCCGGAGTGGGACAGCCCTGAGGCTGAGCGGACCCTGTCCACCTCTGGAGCAGGCTCTTCTGGTGTTCTTCTTGCTGCCTGTGTGTGGCCTCCCTTTCTTGCCTGTCCTGGCCATATCCAGGCCCCATGGACAAGGTGGCCCCAGAAGGAGCAGTTCACCAGGGCTCGCCCCAAGGCCAGCAGCCCGGAGCTTTCCTACCAGGATAGTAGTAAGCCTAGGATTTAGTTTCTGCAGTAGGTAGAGTGTTCTTTACATCTCCTATTTCTTAAGTCTGTTTTGGTAATTTGAATTTTCTGGGGAATGTGTTCATTTTATCTAAATTTCAGGTCTGTTGCTGTGAAGCCCAGAGTGTCTCCAGATCCCTAACCGTCCCTGGAGCTTCCTGCCTTTTATTGGGGTGGGTGGGGGAGGCACTGGGGGTTGATCTCAGGGGCTCTTGACCGCTGAGCCACACCCCCCGCCCTATTTTGTAGTTTATTTAGAGACAGGGTCTCACTGAGTTGCTTAGTGCCTCACCACTGCTGAGGCTGGCTTTGGATTCGTGATCCTCCTGCCTCAGCCTCCCGAGCTGCTGGGATGACAGGTGTGGCCACCATGCCTGGTGCTTCCTGTCTTCTTGTCAGGGTTCAGCCTCGTCTGTGCACCAGCCTCACCATGGCATTGTCAACTTTACTAGTCCAAACTTTGGGATTGGTTGATCTGCTTTATTATGTTTAAAATGATATCTTTCATTAACGTCTGCTTTTTATTCTTTTTCTTACAGTTTCTTCAGGTTTTATTGTGTTCTTTCCACCTGCTTGGGATACACCCTTAACTCATTGTGTTTCACTTTTATTATTTTCTGATAGATGCTTATAGAACTAGAAATTCCTTAATAAGCAGAGCTGGAGACACCTCACTCAGGATTTGATATTTGATGTCTGAATTCTGAGTTCAGATGCGCCCCCGCCCGGAGCAGCTCTTAAACCTGTGCAGTGTCTGGGAGTGGGTCACATTTCTGAAGGTCATGTTCAAGTCCTTGTCCCTACTGGTCTGTTGGCCCCTAAAATCTGCGCCCGTGACCCCATGTGGCTGGGGCTGTTTCCAGGTGATGTTGTGAGACCCTCAGTCCCACTGAAGTTCCTCAAGCCTTCCTGTGATCCAGCGGTCTTGGTTCATCTCCGCAGAATGGGTTCCCACCCTGGGCCTGTGGAAGGCCCTGGGCCTGCGCCCTGCCTCTGCTCCGGGGCAGCACTGGGAACACTGCCCTGGGTCTGTGGACTGCTTTTCCTTTCCCTAACAAAGCAGAACATTTTGATCTAGAACATTTTGATCCAGTTTGTGGACCCAGCTCCTGTGGTGGGTGCTCTCTGGTGCATCTCAGAGTGTCGCCTACCCGGGTCCTGACGCTCCCTCCTGCGTTCCTGCCGTGACCTTCCTGCTCGCTCACCTCGAGTCAGTTTGAACGCGACTGGGCACTTGCTTTTCCGCATGGACATCTGGTTCTAGCATAGTTGTCCCCCCACCCCCACCCAGCCGCTTTTTCCTTTTGTCGGAGTCGCTTGGCTGGTGGGCATGGATTGTGGGCACAGATCACCAAGGGAGGAACACGTGGGCAGGGCTGGACTGGTGCCCCCTGGCCGCTCCTTGGGTAGCCAGGGACTGTGGGTCAGGGCGCTTGGCAGTTGGGATGGTCTGGTGGGGCATGAACATTTCAAGGATTCCTCAGACTCGACAAGGTGTCCAGGGCATGGGCATGATGGCACAGTGGCGGGTGCCAGGATTCCACATTAGGGCTTGGGAGAGAGAAGGGGCAGCAGTGGGTTGGGGACGTGGGCTCACTGGTAAGCCCAATGCTCGTGCTGCTTAGAGGGAAGACGCAGGGGGGACCACAGGGGTGGTCTGGGGAGGTGTGGACCCAGCTCACTGCCTCTGTGGAGCCCGCCAGATGTGGTGTCCAGGAAGGAAGTGGAGAGTTGGGGCAGCAGGGTGGAGGGCTCTGGACTCTGCAGCTTTGGGTGTGTTTGTGGGGTCAGGATCGCATAATGGCCACGTGGGTTAGTTTTCTGTCATTGTGACCAAACCCCTGACAAGAATAACTCAGAGGGCAGACGTTGCAGCCAGGAAGCAGAGAGAGAGAAAGCTGGGCACAAGACCCAATCCCTAAGGGTGGCCTCAGCAGCCCACCTCCTCAGTTGGGTCCCCCTCCCAGTTGTCCTTCAGCTATCTGTAGATGAGTGCATCCCCCTCGGATGGAGCCAGAGCCCTTGTGAGGTAACCATTGCCCACAAGTCTCATCTCTGAGCACTGGAGATTTGGAGGACATTCTAGACCCAGACACCAGGAAAGGATCTGGTGTCAGGAAGGGGGGTGTCTGGAGGGGAAGAGGTCGCCTGAGCATGCTCTGGGCAGGAGGGGCTGAGGTGCCGCTCCTCTTCTGGCCACACATTTGAAAGATCCAGAGGATGGAGACTCCCCAGGCCAGAGGGACCAGGGGCAGGCAGGGAGGGCACCAGGGGAGGAGGAAGGAAGTGGTGGCTGGGGAGGAGGTGGCGGGCAGAGGTGCTGAAGAGGGGAGAGGGGAGAGGCTGTGGGGCTTGGGTGCTGGAGCGTGAGGTGAGTGGGCACAGGTGGGGACATGCACCCGTCAGGTCGGGTGCTGTGGTGTGCAACTGGGTGCTCTGTCCTCTGTTCTGATGCTGGTCTCTCTTTTGCAGAATCAAAGCAAGGAGTTTCCCAAGCCTCCGCATCTTCCCCCAAACCGGACAGATACAAAATGGCAAGGCAGTTGACAGAAAAAGCCATCAGGGTAAAGACCCCTGGGACCAGGGGAGGGAGTACTTTCTGAAGCAGGCATTTGTTTTGGAATTTGGAGAGTGTCTGCTGGGCTTGGCGGCCCTGCTGTGGAGACACTTCCCTGCCTGCATAGAGGCTGGAGCCCCCTGTGGTGTGGGTGTGACCCCATGTCAGTCTGCACACTTCTCCTGACTGGAGGGCCAGGGATATCCCCCCCTGCTCAGAGAACCCTGGGCCCTTCCCCCCAGGGGGCCGACATGGTGGTGCAGTGCCATGGGGATGTGGTGTGTGTGTGCGGCTTGGTGCCGCAGGAGAGGAACTCTGGGGGGAGGGCAGGAAGCCCGTCTTCTCCCTCTGCAACACTCACGCGGGACCTGGGGAAATGGAGAAGGTGTCTTGTCGTGTGTGTGGGAAGGCACCACATCTGACACCCGCCAACGTGAAGCTCAGGTGACCGGGGAAGGGACTGCTGCCTGGGTGCTGGTGGTCCTACTCCCAGGGCCCCGCTGGGGCAGGAATGTGAAAGGCCATTGACACCAGCCACCTGCAGCAAGCAGCCTCATGCCTGAACCTTCCCCTGAGGCTCTCACCAGTGCAGGAGCAAGGTGTCATAGGCTGGGCTCCCAGAGGAGCAGGACAGTCATGGTGAGGAAAGTTCCATCACCCTCCTGGCCCTTGCAGGTGTCCCCTCCCGGCCCCCACCCCCAATCCTGACCACCACGGTGTGCTTTTTGTGCTTTCCATCTCTGACCTCTGACCTCTCTGGAATTCCATGTAAGAAGACTGTGCCGCTCATTGATTTTCACATTTTTTTTTCCCTGAAAGCTTAGAATATATAAGTGTTGGGGGCTACAAATGTTCCTCTAAGTACTGCTTTAGCTGTTTGTCATAAGATTTTATTTTGTAGAATTTTTGTTGTTATTCAGCCAAAAAGTATTTCATCATCCATATTATGATTTCTTCATTGATCCATGAGTTACCTGAAAGCACGGTTCTTCATGTCTGGACTTGAGGGTTTTCTGGAGTTGTGCTGTCCTTGTTTTCTAACCTGCTTTGTGGTTGAGAATGTGACACGTGGAGTGTTGTTCCATTGAGCAATGCTTGGGCTTGTTTTATGCCTAACATTTTCCTAATTTGCGTGAGAGTGAGTGTACAGCTGTCCATTCACACTCATTAGGGAGAGTTTGTCACTTGACTTATTCAGATCTTCTGTGGCCTTACTGGTTTTTTAATCCGTGCGCTATCATTTACTGAAAAACACGTTAAAATAGTCTGATGTAATTGTGACTTGTCTACTTGTAGGTCTGCCCATTTTTGCTTTATATACTTTCTTGCCCTCATAATAGGTTCACAGAAATGTATATTTCTGGTAAATTGAAACTATTTCAAATTATGAAATGATTACCCTAATAATGTTTACTCGTCTCAAATGCTATTTTGTCTTGTGTATATCCTTTTATTTTCTAACCTAGCTGTAGGTTTATGTTTTTTAATGGTCTCTTATAAACAACAGGTCTGTCCTTTAGCTTGAGCGTGTAGTGTACTTGCCTGTAATTAGACTGGGTATGCAGCAGGTCTGCTGTCTGATTTCATTTGCTCAGCATATCCTGTTTGTTCAGTTTTCTTTTCTTCTCTTTCTGTGCCTTCTCTTGAACTGATACCGTGTGTGTGTGTGTGTGTGTGTGTGTGTGTGTGTTTCTGGGGTGGAACCCAGGGCCTTGTGCATGCCAGGCAAGTGCTCTGCCTCAGGGCCATATCCCAGCCCTGGACCGATGACATTTTTTATTGCATTTCCTTCTGTCTCATGTGATAAGAGTCTTATACTCTTTTCATCTACTTTTAAAATAGTTTTTTAAAAAATATTTTTAATTGTAATTGGACATAATGCCTGTATTTTATTAATTTATCTTTATGTGGTGCTGAGGATTGAACCCAAGGCCTCACACGTGCGAGGCGAGCGCTCTACCGCTGAGCCCCAGCCCAGCCCTCTTTCCATCTTTTGTGGTTCCTTTTGGAATGGTATTCTGCTGACTTACCAAGATGAGTCTATTTTCTGAAGTTATGCAGCACAGGGCATGGGGTTGAGCAGAGCCTGGCGTGTTCCTTGGGGAGCTACAGGGTGCCTGCCTTCTCACACTGTGCAGCTCCCCTGTGGGCCGTCAGGCTGCCTGGGCTTACCAAGTGGAGGGCGGCTGGGCCTCTGGCCTTCCTCAGCTATGTGTTCCTGGGGGTGGCGCACAGGTCCCTGCTGGGGACCGTGCAGTGGTCTTATGCTGCATGACCTGCTTCCAGGATCAGCTGCATGGAACAGCGTCTGCTGACCGTCCTGCAATCTCTGGGGCGCAGCCTGGAGGTGTCCACCCAGGGTCTCAAGACTGACATCAGGCAGGGTGGGCTAGAGGGTCTGCTTCTGAGCTCCCTTGGGCATCATCGGAAGGCCTCCTTGCGGTGTCCTTTCAGCCAGCAATGGGGAAGGGACAGCTCTGCGGCTGCTGGAGGGTTCTCCTGACTGGTTCCCAGGAGGGCCTGACTTTTCCCTAATTCAGAGTCAACGAACGATGTCAACAGTCCTGGTGACATCCTGACCCTCCCTGTTGCAGGCACCTGTTGGTTAGGGTGGGACAGAGGCCTTACCTTTGGTGTAGCAGGGGCTCTGCAGAGTTCAACTCAGCATGGCACCTTCAGTGTGCCTGGACCACCAGGACCCTGGTGACTCAGCCCCTCTTCCTGCCTCAGCCCCACTGACCCTGCACCTGGCAGTGACTGAGTCCAGGCTGTATCTTCTACCTTGGTTCAGGGATGCCCTCATGACTGTCAGTCTGTCTTCTGTTGCTATAACAAAATACCCAAGACTGGGAACTTTATCAAGGAAAGATGTTATTTGCCTCATGTGTTGGAGGCTGAAACTCCAAGCTGAGGTGGCCCTCTCTGTGCAGCCCCTGGTGAGGCCCCCTTTGGCATCACATCACCATAGATGGCATCAAGGTGGGACTGCATGCAAGAGGGAGGACATGTAGGAAGAGAGGGAGCCAGAGCGGTGGGGGCCAGGTGATCTTTATAACAACTCACTGTGGGAGAGCTAACTTGACCCTGGAGACCTGGGGCAGCCCCCAGTGGCCTAGCCACCTCCCACCAGGCCTGCCTGGTAAAGACAGTGCCTCTTGGCAACCTGCACTGGGGACCATGCCCCAAGCACATGAGCCCCTGGTCCCAGCCGTGGGTGAGCCCCCCTGCACAGGCGCCCCCCACCCAACCGTGTGGTATTCTCCGAACAGGAGGCAGGGTCTGCCTTCTGCACAGTCTGCCTCCTTCTGCTTTGCAAACCCCCCTGTGGGGAGACAGACCTCTGGCTCTCTGTGCTTCTGTTAAGTCATGTCTGCCATTTTAGGAAAAGAAGATTTTCTCCATCTATGGACACTACCCGGTGATCCGGGCTGCTCTGCGGAAGAAGGGCTGGGTGGAGAAGAAGTTCCACTTCCTTCCCAAGGCCCTTCCCAGTGTGGAGGTCGGAGGGGAAGGGGCCGCTGGTACAGTATCAGAGAGGCCTGTGCTTCTGTAGGGGGCACTCCGCTAGTCTGTGGCAGGGCCGAGCTGTGTGTGGGGATGCCCACTCCTGCTGGGGTCTCATTCCATATCTCCACCACCTTCCCAGCTCCCCAACCCAGGCACCCATCCACTGGGCAAGCCCATCAGGGCACTGGTCACTTTTTCACATCACCATGCCCATGCCCCCTGCAGTCCTCAGGCGCCCACAATGCCAGCTGCTCCCCCAGGACCCTCTGTCCCTGCACTGCTCTGCACAGTGTGTCTGCACTAGACAGTCCCAGGGCGTGGAGACTCAGGCCACACATCTCCCTCACCCCCAAGTCCCAGAAGGGACCCTCCTCCACCGCCCAGGTCCTAAGACTCCATCATGCTGACTTCTGGGCTGCCTCCACTGCCCCTCCACATGGGGACATCTGGGCCTCCAGGGCCCCGGGGTCCCAACCCTGGCATACCCCAGGTGGGTGCCATGCCACGGAGATCGTAGGTGGCTGTTCTGTCTGCTACATGACCCTGACAGTGGAGGGGCTCCAGTGAGGTGCCCGGCTGCACCAGCCTGTCTCTTATGCATGTTTTGTTTGCAGATAACAAGTGCACTGACATCAAAGAAAACCAAGCAATAGCCCTGGAGAAGATGGAGGACATCCACAGTGTGATGGTAGGCCCACGCACTGGCCCAGGGGCCCTGGTGACCATGCCTCGGCAAGGTCCCTCGTGCTACCATCTCCCTTGGCACACACTCTGGCCCGCACGAGCAGGGACAACAGACCCAGATCACCGCAGATGGGGACAGGGCCTTTGTGGGCCTGGGTTGTGTGGGGCGGTGGGGAGCTGGCTGTGCTGTAAGGCAGATCCTGGGACGTGGCCATGCGCCAGATAGGGTCTCCACAAATACAGCTGCCCGCAGCAGCTGCAGCACCTCGCCCCCACTCAGTGGCTCTGGAGAGGACCCTCCAAGGAGAAGGTACATGTGCCTAACTGAAGTGGGGGAGGAGCTACGTGTGGTGCAAAAGACCTAAGAATTCAAGTATCCAGAGTATTTATAAGAACTCACAAATCAACCATGAAAAGACAGAAAAACAGGCCAGTGTGGCTAGACACCTCAGGAATGGCCAAGGAGCACACCATTCTGAGCTCACAGCACTAACTGCGGCTGCACGTGGCAGCCCAGGTACTGTCCTGGTCTGCCGTGGAGGACACGAGGCTGAGGCACTCACAGCTGCGGGGGTTCTGGAGGCTGGGAGTCCCATACCACAGACTGCGCTGGGGGCCTCCACAATGGGCCATCCAGGGCGGCAGACAGGGAGGGAGATGCGCTCACAGCCCAGGCTCCTCCCTGTGAGCATGGTCCCCAGGTGAGGTGGGCCATTGAGACCAAACAGCCCTGCCCTGGGGCCTGAGTGTCCAGCACAGGCTTTTTCAGGGCGTGTTCCACTTAGCAATGCATCTCTGTGCGGCAAAGAAAGGGAGCGGGGTCCTTAGCTCAGGCTGCTGTGACAAGGACCATGACTGGTGGCCCATCTCACAGTTCTGGAGGCTGGACGCCTGGGACCAGGTGCTATCCTCCTGGTTGGCAGGTGATGGACTCCTTGCTGGTCCTCACAAGGTGGGAAGGGTGAGAGTCTCTCCAAGGTCCTTTTATAAAGGCACTGATCCCATTTATGAGGGCTCCACCCCGGTGACCTCATTTCCTCCCAGAGTCTGCACCTAAAACTGTCACCTTGGGGGTGAAGATGCCTGTGTGAATTTGGGAGACACAATATTCCACCTGTGGCACATGGAAGAGGGGACACCTCCAGGGAGCACGGCCGGCCGGTGTCAGCTCTGCTAATGATGCTTCACCCCGGGCACGGTGGTTACTGCCCCTGCTGGGTACTTTTATGCTTCTAAAAATTCATAACAGGATTTAGAAATGAGACTTCCACCCAAAAGTGAGGACCAAAACCATGGACATCTCTCTAAGGGTGGGAAAGGGTCCCACCCTGGAAAGAAGAGTGCCCCAGAGTCCAGCGAACCAGGAGGTTCGGGGCGTGGCCGCGAGCCGGGTGGGAGGAGGCCCTAGGCCCCGCAGCCAGGCCGGAGCTGGTGGAGTCCTGCCGCGGATCCCTGACACTCACGGCCCAGCCCCGGCCGTCCGCGCCCTCGGGCCATACAAGCCTGCCTGCAGAAACTGGCCCAGAAGGGGCTTCACTTCACCAAGGCGAAGGGGCAGGGGATATCCGGGGCCGGATTTTAGAGCACGTCTTCCTCTCCTGGTGTCTCTGCTTGGCTACATTGGAGCACACTCCTGCCACTGCTGGTCATTAGAAAATCACCTACAGCCAGGGTCGCCCCGCCTCAGCGTCGGCTCCGCCCAGACCTCGTCTCCTACCGTGGGGGAGGAGACAGCCCCCCAGGGTTCGTGGAGCATCGCGGTCACCCCGAGTCGCAGGTGGCATGAACCTGGGTCGTGGCTGCTGTCGCGCCACCACTGGGGCCTTGGGCAGCGAGTGGCCACAGCCGCGGTGGAAGGCCTGCTGGAGCCGTCAGGCCACAGCCCGGTCCAGTCCTGTGTGTCTCGGCAGTGTCCCGCTGTCTGGGAGGCGGACCTGAGTGGCGGCTGTTGACAGAGGTCTCTTCTTGCCAGTCTAGGTTGGTAAAGAACGAGATGCCGTACCTTCTCTGGACTATCAAGAGGGATGTCGTGGACCTCCACAGCCTGACCCATGACCAGATGCTGAACCACTACGCCAAGACCGCCTCCTTCACCACCAAGGTGGGCGGAGCGCGCGGGCCCCAGGGGCCTGCAGGTGGGCGGAGCCGGGTGTCAGCGGTGGGCGGAGCGCGCGGGCCCCAGGGGCCTGCAGGTGGGCGGAGCCGGGTGTCAGCGGTGGGCGGAGCGCGCGGGCCCCGGGCGCCTGCAGGTGGGCGGGGCGGGGCGTCAGCGGTGGGCGGAGCGCGCGGGCCCCAGGCGCCTGCAGGTGGGCGGAGCCGGGTGTCAGCGGTGGGCGGAGCGCGGGCCCCAGGGGCCTGCAGGTGGGCGGAGCCGGGTGTCAGCGGTGGGCGGAGCGCGGGCAGGCCCTGGGCCTCGGGGCTGGACAGCCAGCGCCGGGTCAGTGGGCTCCTCCCCAGGATGCCCCACCTCCCGTGGCTGGTCGCTGGGCACCTGCCCGGCTGCCCACGCCCCAGGGCGCCTCTGTGTCTCTGGCTATACCACCGCGTGCTCCCAGGGCCACAGAAGCCCCCTCCTCAGGGCACACTGGCCAAGCCAAGGACGGGTCCCAGGTGGACGAACAGTCCTCGCCTTGCGGGTGCGGTGCAGCCGGGCTGCCCCTGCGGGCCCCTGACGTGCCGCTGTCTCTGGAGATTGGGCTGTGTGTGAACATGCGAAGCCTGCCATGGTACGTCCAGGTGAACCCCGACTCCTTCTTCCCGCGCTGCTACAGCCTCTGCACTGAGAGCGAAAAGCAGGAGTTCCTGGGTAAGTGACGGACTACCTCCTGGGGTCTGCAGTCCCACCGGCCTAGGGCCAGGACCGCTAAGGAAGGACCACCATCCACTCAGCGAGAACCAGTCCAGAGACTTCCACTGGCAATGCGGGGAGCATGGGAGGGAGGAGGTGTCAGAGGCTGCAGAGCTGGGTGTGGCTGATTGGCTCTGAGCTGCTCTGCCTGCTTGTCACTGACCTGGACTGAGTGACCACTGTGCTGCTCAGAGCCAGGCTGGGCCTCAAGCCTGGGAACACAGGACCCACCGCTGTGTGCTGCATCTGCACTGGGGGGTGCAGACAAGACCCCTGGGCAGGAGGGCTCAGCCACCTGAGGGTCCAGGGGCCCAGAGAGGCCCTGGGATGGGGATAGTGGTTAGGAGACCCCAGAACATCCTGGAGCTGTAGCAGAAGAGCTTCTAGAAAGATCCCTCTGGCCCTATGCTGAGACGGGTGGAGATGGGGGTGGGGCTGAAGACAGGACCCGAGAAAGCACAGGGAGGGAAGAGCAGGAGAGGGTAGACAGGGCAGCTGGGGGCAGAAGTGAGGCCCTGCAGGGCTTAGGTGCTGGCTGAGAGTAATGGGGAGCCTTGCCTTGCCTACTGCATCCCCATCCCCAGTCCTGGACGTGGGCAGCAACTGAGGCCTCCATTTCCTTCCAGAGGACTTCCGGCGCACGGTGGCTTCTAGCATCCTCAAGTGGGTGGTCAGCCACCAGAACTACAACAGAAACAGGTCCAGGAGGCGGGAGGAGGCCAGGCAAAGCGACACTGGCCCCAGGAAAGGTAAGGGCGGGTGGGTGGCACCGTGGTTCTAGGGTCTGAGCAGCCCTCTCCCGGCGCCCGCGCATCTGGCTCTCCCAGTGATTCTCACTGGTTGGCCTTTCGCCTTTACTGGGGGCCTGGGAGGTCATGACCCTCATCCCACAGTGGCACCAGAGCTCACAGTGCCAAGGGTGCTGACTCAGGAGAGGACCACACTCTCCCGCTCCCCCTGTGGCCTATGGACATAAGTGGGTTACTCTGGAAAATTTGTTTCAGCAAATTTTAGCTTCACAGCAAAATTGTGCAGAAGGCACAGGAGTCTCCTATACCCTGCCCACCACTGCCACCCCCAAGAGTGGTGCATTTGTTACAGTCAAAGGCTAAATGTTGGCATTTTAATGCGTGTATTTGAGCAAACTGATTTGTGAATGTGGCAGTCCCAGGCCACAAGTGGTTCCGGGGGCTCCCAGTTCAGCAGAAGGTGAACAGGGGAGGGCCGTTATGGGGTAGGTGTGGAAGCAGAGGGAAATGTCGCTGGCTGCCTCAGGTTGGAGCTGCTGCCTCATTTGCCTGTCCAGGTGGGACGTTGAAGATGTGTGACCAACGTTCCCCTGGCCACCTGTGGTTGGCTCAGCTGGCCCCTGTGGCCTTGGTCCCTTTGCTGTTCCATAAAGGTGGTATAGCTGGCGTCCCAGGACCGTAGTTTCTGCAGACTGACTTTATTTGCTTGTCCATAACCCTTTGAGGTCCTGTCCACCATGGGTTGATGGCTGTTCCCTGCAGGGCTGAATAACCTGGCACTCTGGCCTGTTTATCCGCTCGCCCCAAGGGCATCTGTGTGATAAAGCTGCAGTGAAGCTCCGTGGGTGGGTCTTGTGGGTGTAAGTCTTCCACTCATTTGGGTGAATACCAAGGAGTGCGATTGCTAGGCACTGTGGCAGGAATGTGTTGAGTTCCATGAGAAATCGCCCACTGTGTCCCAGGTGGTGGCACCCTGCCTTCCCACCAGCCTGCGCTCACAGATGTGCTGCATGTCCTCGGTGCTGCAGAGTGGTCACAGCATCACCCGCTATTAACTTCAGCTCCTCAGCAACAGGATGTGGAACATCCTGTCCTGCGTTGCTGGCCGTCTCTGCATCTGCGTCTGTCAGATCCCCTGTCCCATCTTAAATCTGGCTATTGTCTGCTTGCTGTTTCAAGAGTTCTTTGCTGCACTGGATCATTCCATTACCAAACTGGGAGGTGTTTTCTCCCAGGTGGCCACTTGTCTTCCCCTCTTCTTGACAGGGCCTCTCACAGAGCAGACACATCTGCTTTTAATGAGTTCTGACTTCCCAGTGATTTCTTTCATGGATGGCACCTTTGGCCCCCCATGAAAAGGCGCTGAGACCCCAAGTCATCTGGATTTTGTTTCTTCTCCTGTGAGTTCTGTAGTTTTCCACTTTACATGGGGCCTGAAACCCTTTGGAGTTAATTTGAGGGAAGATGTGCATTCTGTGCCTGGATTTGGTTTTGTTTGCCTCTGCATTTGGACGCCCAGCTGCTCCACACCCTTGGTTGAAAGACTGTCTTTGCCCATTGTTACATCTGCTCCTTGGTAGAGAGGATGACATCTGTGTGGGCCTGTTCTGGACTCTATTCTGTCCATGGATCTCTATGTATTCTGTCCCCAGGACCATGCTGTCTTGACCACAGTGGGCACAGAAGTTGCTAAGTCAGCTAGAGTTAGTTAGGTTAGTTTTTCTCCTTCGATTTGGAGTTGAAGCAGATTCTGGTCTTGGGCCTCTCTCGTATGACTTTAGAATCAGTTTGTCAATATTCACAAAATAACTTGATGTGCTTTCGGTTGGGACTATGTATAGACCAAACTCTGAAGAACTGACATTAAGATAATATTGAGTCTTTTCTACTCGTGCACACAGCATAACTCTTCATTTATTTAGTTCTTTGAGATCATTTATCACAATTTTGTAGGGTTTTCCTTACACAGATCTTACACATATGTTGTTATTCTTACTTATACATAAATATTTCAACTTTGGGGGTGCTAATATAAATGCTATTTTGTTTTTAATTTCAAATTCCAATTGTTCATTGTTGTTATATAGTAAAGTTATTTCCTCCAGGAGTGTGTGTGTCTGTTTTGGATTTTCTACATAGACAACAATGCCATCTGGAATAAAGACAGTTTTATTTCTTCTTTTCCAGTCTGTATACTTTTTATTTCCTTGTCTTATTGCATTATCTAGCATTTCCAACACAGTGTTGAAAATCAGTGGTGAGAGAGGATGTCCTGGCCTTGTTCTGATCCCTGCAAGATAGCTGCTGATTCTCACCATTAAGTATGATGCTAGTTGTGCATCTGTGGTGGATATTCTTTTCACATTGAAGAAGTTTTCTTCCTGAGGGTTTTTATCACGAGTAGGTGTTGGATTTGTCAAATTATTTTCCTGCATCTGATCTTTAGCTTTTTTTTTTTTTTTTTTTTTGGTACCAGGGATTGAACTAAGGGGTGCTTACACTGAGCCACATCCCCAGCTCTTTTTTGTATTTTATTTTGAGACAGTTTCACAGGTGCTAAGGCTGGCTTTGAACTTGTGATCCTCCTGCCTCAGCCTCCCAAACTGATGGGATCACAGGCATGCAGCACCGTGTCCAGCTTCTTTAGCCTCTTGATGTTATCTGTTAAGTGAGATATTTAAGTTATTTAATATATAGTCGGATGTGACACACAGAGAGACATTCAGAATGGAATAGCAAAAAGACTAGGCTCATGACAGATCCAGAAGGAAGAGTCAGTCTGCCTTACAGGTAAGAGGAGGGTTTCCACACAGAATGTGGGTGCTCAACCAGTGTGTGGAGAGCAAGAGCTGGGGCATCCAGGGAAAAGCCTCCACTGGGGTCCACAGCCCCACCTAAGTGAGTTTTGCTCCTGTGGACTTCCTCTCTGTGTCCACCTGCTGTGCCCCTGCCTCCAGCAGTTCAGACTCGGGCGTGACCGTCTGTCTCTCCAGCTTGGAGACGGTGTTTTTGCCTCACTTCTCTGATAGATCAGGGAAGAGCTGTTAGTTTTTCATGGGCTCAGCTTTTTCTTGTGAGAATGGAGTGTGACTTTCGTGCATAAATAAAATAAAGGTATGGTGTCCATCTACTAAAATAAAGGTATGGTGTCCATCTACTAAAAACAAATTTAAAAAAAAAAAGGGAGGAAATCTGAGTGCCTGCGGTCATCTCTGCAGAAGTGTTGCTGGGAAGTCTGTGCCACATCACAGCTGCCCCTGCAAGTGAGTCCTGAGTCCCCCGTTGCTTTCACACACTGCAGGCTCGCCCCAGGGCCAGGGGCGCCATGGTTGCTTTCAGTCAGTACCCACATCCCTGATGCTGCCCAAGACTTGCTTTCACCCTGCACTTCCTGAGATTGAACAGTGGTCCTGAGGCCTGGGGTTCAGAAGGATGTGGTGCTGTGTGATGGACAGGTGCAGGGGCCTCGGGGACATCTGTGCATGTGCTCTGAGAAGCCGGTCGTGCTGGGGAGCACCTACAGTAGCCCAGTGTGGTCATATCAGAGTTTTTGAAAAAGTTTGCAAGTAGCATCTCCTTGCTGGCAGGAGAGCTGTCTGGTCCTCAGAGGGGAAGGGGTGCATGCCAAGCAGAGGAGGACGGTCCAGTTCGGGGAGAGGTCCCCTGCCCAGAAGGAGGTATCACCCTGTGGTGGCTGCCTAGATGACCTCTGTGGCTGAGTGATGGCCTTTGTCCCATTGGCATGGGACACACCAACACCTGTGCTTGGGTTTCAGATCCTGAGGATGCAGATGAGAAGTTCAGGAGCCTCTCGGGGCAGCTTGTGGACACAGCCTGCAAGGTATGCCAGGCCTACCTGGGGCAGCTGGAGCATGAGGACATCGACGTGTCCGAGAGCAGCAAAGAGGAGCTCTCCGAGGATGAGTGGAATGACCTGATCCAGCAGTACTACTCCCTTGTCCAGTAAGACATGCCTCCTATGGCCCTGAGTGCAGAGGCGCGGATGTGGGCACTTGCACTGGCCTCCGTTCCCCTGGGGGTATCAGGAGCTTCCTGGGGCCAGCAGCCTTTAGTGCTGGGCTCCTGTCTGGGCATCGGGTGCCTGCCTGGGCATCTGGACTCCTGCCTGGATGTCTGGTGCTTGTCCAGGTGTCAGGCTCCTGCCTGAGCAGTGGGACTTCAGCCCGCGTTGGGCTGTATGTCAGGGCTCCTGCTTGTGTGTCGGGGCTCCTGTCTGGGTGTTGGGCTGTGTGTCAGGGCTCCTATCTGTGTGTCGGGGCTCCTGCTTGTGTGTCGGGGCTCCTGTCTGGGTGTTGGGCTGTGTGTCAGGGTTCCTGTCTGTGTGTCGGGGCTCCTGTCTGTGTGTCGGGGCTCCTGCCTGGATGTCAGGGTTCCTGTCTGTGTGTCAGGGCTCCTGTCTGTGTGTCGGGGCTCCTGCCTGGATGTCAGGGCTCCTGCCTGGGTGTTGGGGCTCCTGCCTGGGTGTTGGGCTGGGTATCAGGGCTCCTACCTGGATATTGGGGCTCCTGATGTGTGTTGGGGCTCCTGATTGTGTGTCGGGGCTCCTGCCTGGTGTTGGGGCTCCTGCCTGGGCGTTGGGCTCCTGCCTGGGCGTTGGGCTCCTGCCTGGGTGTCGGGGCTCCTGTCTGGGTGTCAGGGCTCCTTTCTGGCTGTTGGGCTCCTGACTGTGTGTCAGGGCTCCTGTCTGGGTTTTGGGGCTCCTGTCTGTGTGTCGGGGCTCCTGCCTGGGTGTTGGGTGTTGGGACTCCTGTCTGGTTATTGGGGCTCCTGCCTGTGTGTTGGGTGTCTCTCTGGGTGCTGGGCTGCCCAGGTCTTCTGCTGCCTGTCCCCCCAGTCCCCTGCTGGCTGTGGACAGGAAGACACCCTCGGGTGCCTCTGGGTACCACCTTTATGTGTAGCCTCACTTGATCCCACAGCAGCCTGGCAGGTCTGAGCAGCTGCACCTGGCTGGCTCTGGGTAGTAGGTGAGGGACTGTCTGCAGGGCTGCCCAGGCCTGGGCTGTCCAGGATGCTCACTATCCCTACTGCTGCAGCCCTATTCACCTCCCCCCCTCCGGGGGGCCAAGTCCTTCCCAGCCACCATGGGGGAGAAGAGAGGGGCGGAGGCGGCCCAGGCCCCTTGGGGCAAAGGAGGGGGACAAGCCCCCATTCAGGAGGGTCTGCTGGGCTTCCATGCCATCCCAGGGCATTTTGGTCCCTGTCCCTTCTTTCCTTCCTCCTTCCTGTCCTGCTGAGGCACAAAGTGGACCCTGTCACTGGTGTGGTGTGCAGCGTGGGTGCAGGTGATGGGGGTGGTGAACCTGACAGCCACACGCTGTCAGGAGGGGACCAAGCTAGCCTCTCGGCCTGGCCACCCGGGAGGAGGCTCGCCTCTGCTTCCTGCCAGCTGGGGGCGAGAGGACAAGGGGCGGGCGGGCGGGTGGGGAGTGGACACGGCACTGCCGCTCTCTGGCCCCTGGGTACTCCGAAGATACTGGCACTCCTCTGAGGACCTGATGGTGTCCCCTCCTTCTTCCTGAGATGCCGAGGGGACCTCAGAGATGCCAGCCACGTTTGGAGACTTCCGTGTCTCTCTTGACCCTGTGGCCGCCGGCTCGAATGCAGTGAAGAAGCCTTCTCTTCTGTGATCACAGGAGATTTATCTTCTGTCGTAAAGAAATACCCTCTTAGCCTCTTCTGAGTGATTCTTCCCTTACTTTGCACTTTTTCTGATAAAGTACAGCGATGCTGGCCTTCTGTTTGTGTGTGTGTGTGTGTGTGTGTGTGTGTGTGTGGCTACGGGGTGGAGCCAGGGCCTGGGGCCTGCTAGGCCCTCTACACTGAGCTACCCTGCCCTCCACACCAGCGTTCTTTAGTTTGCAAGGTATGGATCTTTTTTGTGTTGTTGTTCCAACCTTTTGCTTTTTATCTACTGGTACCTTTATATTTAAAGTGTGTCATAGTGTCACTGTCATCCCAGAGACTTGGGAGGCTGTTGTAGGAGGATCACATTCAAGGCCAAACCTGGCAACTTAGTGAGAACCTGCCTCAAAATAAAAGAGTAAATAAACAGGGCTGGGCTGCAGCTCCGTGGTAGGGCACCCCCGGGCTCAGTCCCCAGGGCTGCAGCTCCATGGTAGGGCACCCGGGCTCAGTCCCCAGGGCTGCTGCTCCGTGATTAGGCACAATCGGCTCAGTCCCCAGGGCTGCAGCTCCGTGGTAGGGCACCCCCAGGCTCAGTCCCCAGGGCTGCAGCTCCGTGGTAGGGCACCCCCAGGCTCAGTCCCCAGGGCTGCAGCTCCGTGGTAGGGCACCCTGGGCTCAGTCCCCAGGGCTGCAGCTCCATGGTAGGGCACCCTGGGCTCAGTCCGCAGGGATGCTGCTCCGTGGTAGGGCACCCGAGCTCAGTCCCCAGGGCTCAGCTCTGTGGTAGGGCACCCGGGCTCAGTCCCCAGGGCTCAGCTCTGTGGTAGGGCACCCGAGCTCAGTCCCCAGGGCTGCTGCAACGTGGTAGGGCACCCCCAGCTCAGTCCCAAGGGCTGCAGCTCCATGGCAGGGCACTCACGGGCTCAGTCCCCAGGGCTGCTGCTCCATGGTAGGGCACCTGGGCTTAGTCCCCAGGGCTGCAGCTCCTTGGTAGGGCACCCGGGCTCAGTCCCCAGGGCTGCAGCTCCGTGGTAGGGCACCCGGGCTCAGTCCCCAGGGCTGTAAAGATAAACAACAAGCAGTTATGTTGGGCCTGCTGTTTGCCCATCAAGCTGTCTTTCCATCAGTGCAGGCCAGGAGCCCTCTGCACACGATGCCATGAGTGTTCAGCTTGCAGTCTCTGTTCTGATGACAGATGGCCTCCTGCTTTCTGTCCCCACTGCCCTTTCCCTCTGACACTTCTGCATCGCTCTGGACATCTTTGACTCTGATGGTCTGCCTCAGAGTTGTCTCACTGTTCCCTGGACAAGTGGGAGACTTCAGCAGCCAAGCGCCCCACCCCTGCCCCCGGGTCTCCCTTCTGCAGGCAGTGACCCCTGAGGCGCCTCCATCCGTCTTCTCCAGCCTGTGGTCCTCCCCATGTCTGCTGCCGAGTCTCCTGCGCTGGCTGCAGCTGGTCTTCGAGTTGAGGGGCGAGCCGGCTGGGCAGCTGGGGAGCTCTCTACAGTGCCTCTCCATGATGCGGGCTGTGGCACTGGGCCGAGAGGCCGGCTGCGGCTCCCACTGCCATGCCCCCAACACTCTTTCTTGGGCTGCTTTTCAAGGTTTTCTCTTTCTTTTCCTGAAGTTTGACTTTGCTGTGCCTGGATGTGGCTTTGTTTGGTTTCTCTGTCTCAGGGTTTGAGGAGTTTTAAATCTAGGGCTGTCTTCTGTGGTTTAGAGAAGTTCTTGTCTGTTGCCTCCACAGGTGTTGCCAGGCCCCATTCCCTGCTGGCCTCCCCACCCCACTGGCCTCCCCATGCCCACTGGCCTCCCTGCACCCTGGCTTTATCGTGGAGACCACCCGGTGAGCTCTCCTGGTCTCCTTGCTCTGTTCTGAGGCCGAGCCTGGGTATCTTCCACTGGCCTGTCTGAGGTCTCCTGGTTCCGTCTGGACCCACGTGCTTCACCCTGTGGCACGCCCGTCCCTGCTGGTGGTCTGCCTGGCTCTGGCACCAGGTCTGGGTTCCCTCTTGCCGTTGGTCCTCGTGTCCACTCACATTCTGCTCTCTTTTCCTGCTCCTTGGTTCTTCCTGCCAGCCAGACCTCATGCAGGAAGGAAGTGGGGACTGCCATGTGTGACGTCCCCTGGGGCCACACCCTGTGGCGGTGAAGCCATGGCGAGGGGCCCAGGTCCTCAGCCGGTCAGTGCTTCTGATCTGCATCCTCAGGTCCAGCTGACAGCTGTGGGTGGCCGTGGGCCAGCTCTGGGTTAGGTGTCTGGGAAGCCTGCCGCAGGCCCGGCCCAGAGACGGCCTCCTGAGCCCCACAGCTGGGGCGGCCTCACTGTTTCTGTGCAGATGACCCAGGTTCCACTGAGGGAGGACAGCTGGGAAACGCTGTGCGTCCAGCCCCTCTGGCAAGTCCCAGTGACAGTTCACATGGCCACGTGGCTTCTCCTCCCTCAGTGAAGCCCTCCCCAGGACTGAGCCCCAGCCTGCAGCCAGGGAAGAAAATGACCCACATGCCTTCGGAGGAAAGGCGCCCTGGGCCCCTCACTCCTGCAGTCCCCCTGCTTCCGCAGTGCTGTGTGGGTCAGGAGGTCAGGACTGGCAGCACAGCAGGTCCTCTTCAGGTTGTCAAGGGGCACATGGCTACTGTGCCCACCCATGCCACCTGGTGAGGAAGCCCTGAGGGCTCTGTGCTTCACCCTGTGGCACGCCCGTCCCTGTGGTGGTCTGCCCAGTTGCTGTGCCTCCCTCCCTTGCCACTGCCCACTGCCACTCGCCCTGCTTCCCTCACAGCCCCGGCTCCCTGAGGCGCCCACCCTGGTCCACTGTTTCTGGGCTCCAAGCTGCCCGGGGCCATTCTCCGTGGCTTTGCAGGGTCAGTCCTGCTTGGTTTCCTGCGTTTTGGCCCTTCACAGGGCAGCTCCTGACTCCTGTGGTCCCTCAGCTGCGTCTGAAGAGCTGCTCTTGATATTCCTTCCAGGGATGATCTGGGGTGGGACCCTCGTGGTTCCACTTCTTTCTCAGCCTGTTTCCTTCCGTTTTGAAGGACGCCGTCTCTGGAGCGAAGTCCTCCATCCGCGGAGTTCGTGGGTTGCTCGGCTGTGCCTTGCGGCCACGGCTGCCTCACCCTTCAGCACTCTCTGTCCAGGAGGCCAGGTGCTTTCTCCTGCTGCTCCGAGGTTCTGGCTTTGGTTTCAGTGGCTTGGGCGGCGGTCCTGGGAGTCCTGGTCTTCCTGCTCATCCTGCGGGGCCTTGTCCCGCGGCTCTGGGGAACCGCTGGCTAACCGCAGGTGCAGTGTGCGGCCGGCTGCCTCCCCCTGGCGGCTG